GATATTTACACACATTTATAATCTTAACTATAAGAACTGGTATGTCTTCTCTTGGAAACAGAAGACCTCAATACAGATGTTTACATGCAAGATCTGACACATACTTAAAAAGAATATTTATTCCAAACTAAAGATAGACTCTGTAATAAAATCTTTTTCTCTTGAAAAACTGAAAGCAATTGATTTGTTCATATTTGTGGATTTATGTCTGTTTCTCAAATCAAAATTTAAATATGAATATTTAAAGTCAATATCATAAACTATGACTGTTTCACATGAATGTTTCAATTTCATTAAATGCTGTTTATTCCTTGTCATCCCCCAACAGATGCTCTTCTGGCAAATCATGATTGTGCTTGGAATCAACTTTCAGTACTCTGATGACAGTCACACCTATCAAAAAGAAATTGAAATTTTTTATTGAATTTTTTTTAAAATGTGCAACTTATACACTGTTATAAGATAAGATAAACCATCAAACTGAGTTCAAAGATACTGTCACATTTTCCGGTAGTCTATAATTATTTAAAAATATAGATTTACAGGCAGTCATTTGAGGATGTTGTAAAATAACATATTAGCTTTTCATGATTTCAAATAAAGAAAATGTACTTTACTTGTTCATATCAAAATTTATTAGGAATGGTAATGGTTAACAGTTGTTAACCGACTACTTAGCCAAAAAGATGGTATCCAATTATGATTTTTTTATGTGTCAGGATAAGACCATTCGTAAAGGTGTTACAGCAATAAAGAACAATGCGCTAATGAGGTGACAAAACGCTATCGCATAAGAAACAAAGAGCTAACGCAAAGTAACAATGTGGCTCTGGCTCATTTATAACACATGCTAGTAAGTTTATGACAACATTCTGGCCAGTTTAAGACAAAGTATTAGGTAGCATGAAGTAAAAATGTGCTACAACACTTATGACGATGGTCTAGTGTGTTTATAACAACACAATGACAATGTACTTGTGCATTGTAACAATGTTGCAGCAGGCTTTTACACCACACAGTCAAGATTACATGTAATAGATTGTGTAAAGCTGTGTTGGCATGGCAGCATATTTTGTGTCAGCACAACTGCATGTTATTTTAAGTTGCCTTAGCCTGACAGTGTTGTGAATACTGTGTTAGCACATTTTTCCAAAACATGCTGAAGCACTTTTACAATTAGCCTTATCTGGACACCATAATTTTCAAAACCAGCTAGCAAGTTTTTTTGTAAAAGTACATGTACCAGGGTACATGTAAATCATTTTTTTCATTTCGATTTCATTATGTTTTAAAAAGACAAGGAATAAAATTCAATTTTCTATAAGCTTCTATTCATTATAAGTGTTTGCCAAAGCATTTTTTCCTATATAACCAAAATACATCTTTGTATTTATTGTAGCCTAGTGGTAGGGCATTCCCTTTATAAAATCCTGAAATTTAGCTTGATTTCTAGCCGGGCTCATTGCTACGAAGTTCAACAGGAAATGCTGCTTCATCACTGATGCTTATCACATTTACACGCTAAAATATAGTACATTTGCGCAATCAAATTTGAGGCAATACAAACACTGATTACATAATTAAATTTTCAAAGTTATCTGAAATAGTCAAAAAATTATTATAATAATGTACTTTCTACAGTCTTCTTCGATTAATTATTTGTTTAAAATATGCAAAAGGTTTTCATCAGGTATCGATGTGTGCGCCATATTCTATATATAAAAGTTGTATTGTCAGTGTAACACAAATGCGGTAAACATCATTAATTACTTGATGTACACTTTGATGCAAATTCTCAGCTGAGGACACATCAGTGCATAATCGTTTGACCTTAATTAATCTTGCTGCATTAGTGTTCATTTACTTCTGTTGGTATATAAATCCCCGAAACTGCCTCAAACGATACATGTGATGAATATTTTATGCTGTTAAATTCTATAATAATTTTATTTAATTTTAAAACTTTTTAATACTATATATATGCCATAGAGATATTTTTGTGGATAACATATCCTCTCAATGTCTGAATTTTTTTTTTTAAACTCTCATCACGGTTTTTGTTCATTACCCAGTAAATGATCCCAGCTTTCAGTACTTCTGAGTACTTTGATTATTCACTGCATCAAACCTAAGACATAAACATGATGCAGTAATGTTACTTAACCATGCACCCAGCAATTGAAGTGAATGTGACCTTAAAAACCTCATAGTTTATGTTAGGACAATGTCACTGAGTTCCAAATAAAGGTCTAAATAACAAGAGGCCCATGGGCCACATTGCTCACCTGAGAAGCTTTAGCCAATCTGTTCTTTACCAGATTTGCCTCTTGTAATACATATTGTGACCCCACCCTACCCCACTGATCATAATTTACACAATTTGAGATCTATGCTTCCATATAAGTTTCAGCTTTGATTTTCAAATTTTTTTTCTACATATTTCTATGTTATGTAAAACATTGAACCCACATTGTGGCCTGGCCCAACCCCCAGGGGTCATGATTTGAACAATTTTGAATCTAAACTACCCCAGAATGCTTCCAAATAATTTTCAGCTTCTCTGGCTCAGTGGTTCTTGAGAAGAAGATTTTAAAAGATTTTACCTTTATATTTCTATGTAAAACTTTGATTCCCCATTGTGGCCCCACCCTACCCCTGGGGTCATGATTTGAACAATTTAGAATCAACACTACTCAAGGATGCTTCCACATAAGTTTCAGGTTTTCTTTCCCAGTGGTTCTTGAGAAGAAGATTTTCAAAGATTTTTCCTATATATTTCTATGTAAAACTTTGATTCCCCATTGTGCTCCCACCCTACCCCCTGGGGTCATGATTTGAACAATTAAGAATCTACACTACCCTAGAATGCTTCCACATAAGTTTCAGCTTTTTTGACCTGGTGGTTCTTGGGAAGAAGATTTTTTAATGATCCAACCCTATTTTTGTCTTTTCTTGATTATCTCCCCTTGCAAGGGGATATGTCCCATCAATTTAACAATTTAAATTCCCCTTCACCCAAGGATGCTTTGTACCAAGTTTGGTCAAAATTGGCCAAGTGGTTCTTGAGAAGAATTCGAAGAATGTGAAAAGTTTCAGACAGACGGACAACGGACAAAATGTGATCAGAGAAACTCACTTGAGCCTTCGGCTCAGGTGAGCTAAAAACTATTCAATGGTATTTATTAACACCTCTAAATGAGTGAAGGAGTGAAAATTCTCAAATAACATTACCAATCAAAGTACCAATAAGAAGCTGATTCTTACATCACAGGTTCCAATCCCATTGCTAAATGCTTCAGACAGGTTACTCCAATCAGACCGCAATCACCGCATACACCGAGATTCAATGTCAAAAGGATCCCTTACTTCTCAAAGGCAATTAGTGCTGAGTACAAGTCCATATTTGCAGCTTACTTTCCCAAGTGGTGGCATCATCAAATGACTGGAAAATGTTTGATAGGCCAATAATCAAACACACCATTCCTGCAGTCATCTAAAAATAAGCAAACTTTCTATTATTACAATTGTTTTTGAAAATTTCTTTTGAGATTTAACTGAGCAACAATTGTGCATTTTTTTGTCAATAAATTTTGATACTAAAGACTTTGTTTGAACAGCTATTTATAGCAATTACAGACAACAGCATGTAGCGCTGCTCATAGTGCAAGCTCTCATGACAACGCCTTGGCGAAGAGAAAATTATCACTTGCTTATTGATCCACACAATTTCTTTTCCGCAGTAACTTTGGATCCACAGTGCTTTGATTCTTTAAGATACATTCTTGCAAGAATTGATCAAAAGTTTCCAAAAAATAAATTCACCTTGATTTAATGGATAAATTGCAGATAAATAGTGGGGGAAAAAAATCTTCATTAAAGTCAGCACTATTCAAGATTTAGACTGGTAATGTAGGCCTAACTTACATTACGACATCGTGTGACTTCAAAGTCTAGTGCCCTGTTCAAATGGAGAGTTTAATTCACAGTAAATGATTGCAAAGTAAACTAATGCGAATCAAACTGTGTTAACATGGCAGCTAATGCGAATTAAACAAATGCGAATAAAAATTTTACTTCTACAGTCAAGTGTCAGTAAGGCTATCCACTCAAAAATAGCACAATTAAGTATACTTAAAGCTAACCACCAACATGTAGCCTTTGAATTAATTTTGCCATTACACATGCCTCAAAATTTGATTTGAATAAGCTTCCCTTTGTGTTCACATGGAGCTAAATTCAGCTAATGCAAAGTAATTTAATTCATAGTAAATTAATTCGAATAAATAAAACTAATTTGAATTAAACTCCCCATGTGAACAGAGCATTGATGCACCAAATATCAAGTGCGGTTTGACAAGCCCGATCTAAATTAAAACTGAATAAGTATCTACCCACACCCTAACAGTCACACCGTCAACATATTGTTACGGTGTATATTCAACAATTAATAAGTGTAGTGAGATTTACCCCTCCATGGTTACTGCAGTATTGATCTTTTGCAGGGCAAAATAATAACGTTTGGCAAACTTTTTGTTGAGAGATAATTGAATGACGTATATTTAACAATTACTCATATGTCATATTTCACCAAACTATATCATTTTGCCCTGCAAAAGAGCAGTACCGCAGTTACCGTGAAACGGTCTATAAGAGTATCACTAATGCCCAGGTCACATTTCCCTGCCGGTAGCCGTAGACCGGTGGTAATCGGTGGTAATCCGTGGTGTTAACGATGCCTCAACATTGGTCAACATCGGCCAAGTAGTCCTTAAAGTATCAGTCACATTATCCAGCGAGGGGTATACGATGGACAACCAATGTGTTTTATTGAAAAAATGGCGTGGTTGCTTGCCGGGCTTACAAAGGCCCAACGATGCATTGCTAATCATAAAATGATGTTCACGGATAATCGGCCAATGTATATAACATCGCTCATACATTGGTGAACATTGTGCGTACATCGGTCGACTACAGGCCAATGTTTGGTCGAAGATCGAACAATGATTGGTCGTTATCTGTTAAAACCACTAAACTCCCCGATGACATCAGATTCAACAGATATTGCACGATGCTCAGCCATACATCGGTCGATCATTGAAAGATGTGTTAATGATGGCTTGCCGATGAGGAGCAATGTAAGGCATTGTTGGAGACATCGCTGAATTTTAACTTAAAATTATTTCCTAACGACGACCCCACCGATTCGCAAAAAAAGACTCAGTGCCCGGCCGGCAACCACACCATTTTCATCAAAAAACGCACTGGTTTCTCATCATATACCCCATTATTGGATAATGTGACTTATACTTATGATGGATAGTGGAGTGTTGAATTTTTTGTTTTGAAAGTGAGTCTTGTTGAAATTAAATGCTAACATATATATCTAAATAAAAAATAAAAAGCTGTTGGGATTTTAAAAGGCTAACAGAAAGCGTCTGAGCCTTAAAACAGATAATGTATCGGTGTGTCTGTGTATTTCTAAAAATATCAGTGCTCTAAGCTGCCATAGTAATTTAAATTTTAGGTAAAATAAATTTCTAACCTTCATTCCGATAGTCCACGCCAATCAAACTTTGAAATGTCACCGTCGAATCTTTCATCACTCGATACATTTATCACTGGGAACCACGAACTAGAGTCAAGAGTGCTCATCTTGTTAATGTAACAGTCGGAATTTCCTCGTAAACAATTCACACAAAAATTTATAAATCGTATAATTCTGCTGAAAATAATGCTCCAGAGGATTGATAAAATACTTCGTAGCTGCAGATTAAATGTGCGTGCATGTCTACATACGGCCTGTGACTTGTGTGGTAAGAAATGCCCAACTTCACCTGATTTCCAACTTTCAGTTTGTAAACATGTGTCCGACTTTTGAGACACACTAATTACCGGATATACGAAAGACCTGATATTTACCTGATGTTTTTATTTTATATTAAATGACTATATTGAGTACTTAAAATGACTTATCTAAATACTTTATGACTATGATGCATAATGCTATATACAAATTCGTTTGTTTGGAATATTTACTGACGATTTTGAATCAGGTCAAATAAGGTTTGTAGCATATTATGTCTTTAGTACCTTCCCATGTCCCACAATGCCGCGCGTTGTTTACAAACAACAGGCCCCGAAAAGACTTCCTCTTAACTAATGCAGAAATATTTTGATTTTACTTATTGACGTGTACATCATAACATTATTTTAATTGTTTGAATAAAAAGAAAACAGAGAAACACCGAATCAAAACAATATCTTTCAGATGCATCAACAAAATCTATGCAAGAGGCCCAGTCAAGGCTTGGCTTATAGTAGACAACTTGTTCCTGTAACGTTTCTCACATATTTGTTTTATAAAAAAAACTATTAAATATAGCTTGAAGCTTATTTCTCTTTATATCAAACGACAAGATTTAATCAGTTCGAAACTATTTCAGTCAAACTTTTTCATAATATACCAATATTTTTAGCTATCAGAAAAAAACTTGTATGAACTATAAACCCCTAATTATAGGGGCCAGCCCCTTTTCCTTGATCTTATATGAAAGCTCTCGTAATTATGCACAACTTTTGTTTTATATTTCTTACCAAATTATTCTCGGTTTAAAAGTTATTACACAAAAAGAAGCAAAATTTCATGGGAAAATAAATACTTAAAATTGCCGTCACATAGCTTCCGATCTTTAAGAAATCAGCTTATAATTTTATCGCTATGCACATCTACAATGTATTGGCTACACGTTCTCAAACTTTCATGTAATTATCATATGTCGTTTTTGAGTTTATTAGTGGACACGAGACATCAAAATTATCAATTAAAGAGCAATAACTCACAAAGTAAGGCATGTATCAAAAAATTGAAAGCAGATGTAAACAGGTGTTAATACAAGGTATCCAACCTGAAAGTTTCATAAAAATCAGTGGAAGGGTCTTTGAGAAATCGCCTGTCAAAAATCTGGCGGGAAAAAAAAAAAGCAAATAATAATAAGAAACAGTAGAATAACAGTAGGGTCTTCCGAAGGAAGCTCGGAAGACCCTAATAATAATAATAAGAAACCGAGTAAAAACAATATGTTCCCAAACTCCGTTTGGGGAACATAATAATAATAATAAGAAACCGAGTAAAAACAATATGTTCCCAAACTCCGTTTGGGGAACATAACTATTACTTTTACTGTTACAGAGTCGAATGAAGCTGTTACTGGAGAACATTAAGTACGTGTTTGCATACCTCGTTTGTTTCTGTCAGCGCAGTGAAATGGAGCGAGCCATCATTTTTCTTCAGGTAAGTGAGGTGTTATATTCCATTTGTTCACCTTTCAAAAGACATTTAAATTTGTAAATATATTGTTTTGACTGGTTTGTGTAGGCACGGAAAGCCTATGGACTCTCCACGTATATATTTCGTGTGAATATTTAGATTTTAGGTTAATAAATTAAATAATCAGGTTCTCTGATTTTGTAACATTATACCAGAATGAGACTGACCTTGAACTTGCCCAGCTGTTGAGGATGAATTTCCAGGTGGTACATCAGGAACTTCTTCTGTATCTCAGTACCCACTATAACCAGGTATGTTTGTACCTCTCTATCAGTATAAACTGTACACTACGGTATCTCAGTACCCACTACAACCAGGTATGTTTGTACCTCTCTATCAGTAAAAACTGTACACTACGGTATCTCAGTACCCACTTCAACCAGGTACTAAAGTCTGTAGATCTTTATCATAGCAGTGCTTTATTTAAACACTTTTGATCAATTGTAATGAGTAAGGGGTGGAGGAATTTGGTACAGATTGATACATGTACATGAAATTTCATTTCTGTCCTTCCGTCACACTTTGCGTTTAGCTCTGCTCAAAGCTAAGTTTCAAAGAAACCATCCAAGATATATTTATCAAACTTCATATGCTGAAAGATATTGATGAGAGCTATGCAACTGCATCAACATTTTTTTACCTTGACCTCACTTTTGTTAAATTTGTGTTTAGCTCAGTTTTAAACATACCATTCAAGATGGATTTATCAAACTTCACATGTTGATACAAACTTGCATGGATGATGTATCTCGGGATGAACACTACCAGACTCGCTTAGGATGCTGTATCTGATCTACATTTTCCAAATGAGTGACCAGATATAAGTTTTTGGAGCAGGTCCACTCCTAATGCTATGTTCCCACTATCACGATTGCCACCACGATTGAAATTGGGGCCTTGAACGTGGACAAATCGTAGCGATCGTAGCAAACCGAATCAAATCTTGTGTTCACTCGTGGCTATCGTGTTGATTGTGAAATTTTTTTTGACTGTCAAAAAATTTTCTACAATTAACACGATTAAATTTTAATCGGTATCATCGAATCGCATTACATCGTGACTAACCTCAGCTGCATCGTAAGTAAACGCATCTAATCTAGCTTTCATTTCGTGATCATCGGGATTGATCACGGATAGGAGAAACATCCCGGTTATTAGCGATTCGTAACGATATCTCACGTTCTGTCACTATCTGTGACGATTTGCCTGGTCTTACTGCTAACGAGCTGATAGGGTATTTTCCCGCTCAGATACGATTTGATATGGACATAAAAGAGTAAACGTCACTAGATACAAGTGTTAACGTTTTGTTGCGGATGCTCACACTATATTACGAGTATTTAAGTTTGAAAAAATAACTGGAAAATTTAAATGCGTTTCTTTCCCCGATTGTAAAAAGATGTCTGAGTTTTGGAAAAATAATTTTAAGATGCAACCTAAAACAGGTACAAGAAAGGAAAGAGAAGGGAGAAACCGTTCGATCAGACGCAACATCGGTGGAAAAAATAAAAACATAAGAAAACAGTTATACTGCTGCTTTTGCTCTACTTTGACAGCAATACCATATGAACATAGAACACTTCAAACACCACTTTCGTGACGTTGTCATCAACCCTAACTTCTGCCATTATAATTGATTGAATTTTAATGCTTTTTTTACTTTTAATAGGTAAAATATGATGAACTCAGTACAGCCAGATTTTTTTTTATATCTGTCTGGGTACAATCGTAGCTCAAAGCGTTTTCTATCTTGATCCTGATCGTGAAAGTAATTGTGATGAACGTGTTATTCTATCGCACATTAGCGCAAAAGCGTGCGATGAACGTATTATATCACTAGAGTACGTATTAAAACGTACAAGATTGTTTCTAATCGAGAACTCGAATCATGATATTTGAGACAGATCGAGGTCATTTTATCCACTAAATCTTAATAACCCTATTGGAACATAATTCATCTTATCTGAACGATAGTCTGTTCCTCAGAGATCGCATCACATGAAATTTATCCATCTTGGCCATAACGCATGAAAGTGTAACAAAACGTATGAAAATCACCCATGCGCATCTCTTCGTATCTTGGCATGAAATTCAATAAAAACTCTGCGATCAACTATGATTGATCAATCGTGACGTGCGTAAACTGTCCGCACAAAAGTGGGAACGTAGCATAAGGAATTATAAGTCCTACTTGGACCAAACTTTCACTGATGATGCATTAAGGATGGACACTACCAGACTTGCTTCGGATGCTGGATCTGACCTACATTTTCATTCCCAAGAACTAAGCCCTACCTGAACCAAACTTGCATAAATGATGCATCTAGGAATGGACACTACCAGACTTGCTTCGGATGCTGGATCTGACCTATATTTTCATTCCCAAGTAACTATAAGTCCTGCCCGAACCAAACTTGCATGGATGATGCATCTAGGGATGGACACTACCAGATTTGCTTCGGATGCTGGATCTGACCTATATTTTCATTCCCAAGTAACTATAAGCCCTGCCTGAACCAAACTTACATGGATGATGCATCTAGGGATGGACATTACCAGACTCGCTTCGGATGCTGGATCTGACCTATATTTTCATTCCCAAGTAACTATAAGGCCTACCTGAACCAAACTTGCATGGATGATGCATCTAGGGTTGGACACTACCAGACTTGCTTTGGATGCTGGATCTGACCTATATTTTCATTCCCAAGTAACTATAAGTCCTACCTGAACCAAACTTGCATGGATGATGCATCTAGGGATGGACACTACCAGATTTGCTTCGGATGCTGGATCTGACCTATATTTTCATTCCCAAGTAACTATAAGCCCTGTCTGAACCAAACTTACATGGATGATGCATCTAGGGATGGACATTACCAGACTCGCTTCGGATGCTGGATCTGACCTGTATTTTCATTCCCAAGTAACTATAAGTCCTACCTGAACCAAACTTACATGGATGATGCATCTAGGGATGGACACTACCAGACTTGCTTCGGATGCTGGATCTGACCTATATTTTCATTCCCAAGTAACTATAAGTCCTACCTGAACCAAACTTGCATGGATGATGCATCTAGGGATGGACACTACCAGACTTGCTTCAGATGCTGGATCTGACCTATATATTCATTCCCAAGTAACTGTAAGTTCTGCCCGAACCAAACTTGCATGGATGATGCATCTAGGGATGGACACTACCAGATTTGCTTTGGATGCTGGATGTGACCTATATTTTCCAAACAAGCAATTCAGCTGCATCACTATTCAAGATATTCTGATCAAATTTTATACACATACAAATTTTCATGTTGCTTTACTAATACATCCTCGGCGGGACATTCATGTCCTATGGACATATTTCTAGTTGTCAATTAAACAATGCAGTAGTAATAGAAATCAAATATTTCAATACTGAAAATAAATTGAAAAAGGCTTTAAGATTGCTGCTGATTTTGTGTTAATGAAGGTATTCAATGGACTGCGACATCTGTCCACCTATGACCACAATTACACGGGTCCTAAAGATATCAAGACATCAGAACAAATGGCTGACTACCTCCAGCCCCGACTTCTAGGGGTCATTGCATTCTTTGACTTCCAACTACTCAATGCCAGCACTCCACTGTCTGACAAAAAACTGGTAAGTCAAGGTGTTTTGGAGTAGAATTCATCTTTGTTTGAAAACTCAGTTTCCAGTTAATTTTAGAATAAAATTTGAGGTTTCAGTATTGCCAAGGAATGCCTTTTTACTTCACATGAGGCAAAATTGATTCGAAAACTTTCAAAATTTTGTTGTTGTTGTTCTGACTGATCATTTTTATTCCAAGTGAAGTATCTTTGGCTTTCATTGTAGACAATGGAGAGCCTGACAGCCATTATTAAACTGATGGGGAAGAAACACATAGGAACAATTCGCCACAAAGTAATCGGAACCCTGAGGTTAGTGTGACCTTACAACTTACAGATTATAGACCTCTTATTGTTTGTTATTTATAGCTGTCTGATTTGTATAGATCTTGACTGCTCTGACTTTCGGAAAACAAGATATTTTAAAAGGTTAACTGATTTATTACACTGCATATACATGTACATCATAAGCAAGTAAAGTAAGCAAAACTGTTCTGCAATTACATCATGTGTTTAAAATTGAAAGATGGAAGATGAGATACAAATTACATTTAAGATGAGATACAAATTGCATTTAAAATGTTATCCCCCTTTAGTAGAGAATACACTTGGGGGAGAGCACTAAAGGTACATTTTCTGAAAGTAAGCCTCCTTTCATATAAAAGACATCTTGGGGGATGAGGTACCAAAATTTGAGCAAGGTTTGTAGCGCATTGGCCTTTTCACTTAGTTTTTATAATTGATTGTTTCCAAAGTCTTGTATTGCTGTTTTAACTGTATCTTGGTCCAGTTTTCCAGATTTGAGAAATCGATTGAGTTCTTAATCCTTGATGCATATTTGAAAGAAATAGCAATGTTCCAGTCACTTAAACGCAAAAATTGAGATTTAATTAAAATACACAGATCAACACAATAAGTTTATAAAATGCATTCACATCCAGTAGTGAAATATGTCTACATGATTTGTTAAGACAAAAATCAGTATCAAAAGGCTTGAAATCAAAATACAAACAAGAAATTTTGGAAGCAAGCACTAGCATTGAATTTGATACAAGCAGTGATGTCATAAAAGGATGCTAAGAGGATGCTGGATTTACTAAAAAGCTAATACATTTTCTGGCTATAACAAGATAAATACAATTGATATACTATGAATGAAACATGAAGAAAAAAACACAGATTATATACTAGTACATCATATTTATGACGTTCACAATCCCTCAAAATTTATTTCTATTTGTAAGATTTCTGATTTTCTTGACTAAAAAGTTGAAAAATATAATAATTATAATCTTTTAAATTAACATGATTTATGACACCTTTTTTTTCACAAGTAAATATATTTATTTAATCCCCCCCCGGCGAAATTGTATTATGAAACACATATTGTATGTGTATATTGTTGAACATATTTTATAAATGCAAAAATTAGTTTTGAAATACAAGATTTTGACACGGATGTTTACAGATGTGTTTTATTCTCTACAGGATTGGACTCCAGTTCACGGATCGAGAGTTCATTGAGATTATCTGTCGAGCCTGGAATTGTTTTGTTAAGAGGTAATGTACACCGAAACAATTTTGTAAAAATTTATAAGTATTAACGTTATTCTATAAGACTACATGTTCTTATTAAACATTCAAATTAAGTTGTTTTGATTAAGACATCCCCACATTTTTTTTTCCACTGAAAATTGCTTTATACATTAAAATCTAAGAAAATTTTTCCCGGCTGTAAATTTATATCTATCTATAATTGGAAGAATATGCACATTCTATAAATATTTTAAATATATATTTGTGATATTTTTAGCTTAGAGTTGTCTTTCCTTGGACAAATGATGTCACAGATTATTGCTACACTACTACCACTCCTTGAACACCTGCCCAAACAAGTTGCGGAAATCATCAACTTTATCATCGTAGATAACAGGTAGGAATTTTATACAGAGGAGCTGTTTGTTCTTGGTCCCCTTTTCCCTCTCTATAAACTCCAAAAATGTTACTTTGTCTCCTATACAATTTTCCTTATTTCAATTTCATCCCTTCTTTTCAGAGGAAATTTCGTCAACTTTGTATACAGTAAATTTTGTTTCTGTACAAGGTGTATATTAAAAGAATGTTGAATTCAAATTTTGCCTAAATCTTGAATATGAAGTACACTGGATCTGTAAATTAAATAAAATCAGTTACATGTACTGACATCTTCTAAAGTATGCATTTGATTTTACTGATACATGTAATTCATTTTCTTCAATTCCTGTTACTTTCAGTTATACAGTTCAGGGGTACAGTTGTATCATGTACTTTGCACAAATTAAACTAATATAATAATGGTAAATTTCATCTTGGAAGTATTTGCTTTCATTGTTCTTAATCTATACTGTGTTGAGTTTTACTGCAGATATTTGATTTTCTTCACTTGTCTGTTTTTTAATTGAGCAACAAACAGATTGTCATTTGTATCTGTACACAGTCCCTGGGGTTCACTCAGTCCACAGTCTATATAACGGAGGAACTGTCCATCCTGGTCTATGATGTGGACACAGGCATTGTTAGAGTCAGCTGTAAGGATGTGACTCTGACTGTCTGTGGTGATTCCTACTGGATTGAATGGTTTGTTCTTTGGAGCAGGAGTATGTCCAGTGTACCTGAATCTCAGTTTCCCAGCCTGATTGACCACCACTACTGCTCTAGCTCCACAGTCAGACACACAGATATCCAGGTTCCTGTTCTCTGTTATGTATCTGTCAGAAAGACCAGATGAATAGAGAGGTTTACCTTTATCATCAAACTGAATGGTTTGTTTCTCTGTGGAGCCAGAGTAACGGACAACTTTTGTTTGTTTGTAATCATCACTGTACATGATAACCAGGAGGTCACCAGAGGAGGTACTACAGACACCTTCAGGTTTCCAGTTCTGTAGTCTGATCACCTCCTCTATCTTCTCATTCATCACAATGTTCACAGTTCTATCATTGTAATCAGTATAAACTAGATCTCCACTTTTTGTCACTGCTATGTCATATGGTGTGTTCCCTGACTTGGTTGTGATTGACTTGAGTAGTGATCCCTGATTGATGCTGTAGAGTTTCATGGTTTTTTCATGTCCACTTGTCCAGATTTCTTCATCACTCAGACAGGCCACATTGTATAGGGTTACATACCCAGTGTCTATGGTGGTGACAGTCTCTGGTTCATCAAGCAGCTGTTTGACTGGAGGAGAGGATCCAGCTTCTGGTGATTTCTGTGTTGTCTTCATGCTGTAGCCATGTTTATCTGAAGTTAAAGAACCTGATGACAAGATTCCAAATGATTTACAAAGTTCTTCTCCTTGGATTTTTCCTTGAATGAATTTAGGTAGAGATGGTGCTAATTTGTGTGGAAGATTTTTGTATCTATCTGCATTGGATGTGACACCAAGTAGTTTTGACAAATCATTTGTATCAGTAGACATTTCGACTGAATCAATTTCATCCTTGATGTCAGACATTGTCTTGTTTATTTCATCCAGATGTTTCTGTAGAGTTTGTAACTGTGTGTTTTTCATCTCATCAACTTCAGCTTTAAGTTTCTTGACAAGTTTGTCAATTTCTCTGTGCCAGTCCTCTCCATGTTTTGTTATGGCTGTTGAGAGATCTCCATATTCCTTTTCTAACTGACTCATTCTGTTTTGTACATCAGAGGCAATGTCCTGGTAGGTTGGGTAAATTGTATCATTTAGTTCATTTCGTTCTTTGACAAATTTATTCTTTCTTTCATTCACAACTTCTAAGATTTCTGATACTTTATGACCTTGATGTTTACCGGATGCAATGCATTTAGGACAAACAGGAATGTCACATTGGTTGCAGTACATTGTACTTAGGTCTTTGGAATGAGATGTACATGCAGGATAGAGGGGAGTGGATTTTCTGGCCTGAAATTTCACGATTTTGTGGTCCTTGGATTCATCAGATGTCATGTGTTTTCCAACACAAGCTGTACACAGGTTGACAAGACATGTATCACAGTGCATCTGTACCACAGCGGTCTCACACAGGTCACATCGCATCACGTCCTGGGCACTGGTACGGGGGTCCATGATTAAACTTGTTACTCTGAAATATAAATAGATCTTTATCTCAACAGGATATCAATAAAAGTAAATCTAGTGGTTTGGGTTTTTGACAAGTATTTAAAAAATTATTTCCTTTTGAAAGTCAAGTTTTTCAAATTAATTTTTTTGTCTTTAAAAATTACACTGTCACACACACTTAATGGGTAGAGCACTAAATTAGAGAATGGATGGTCGTGGGTTCAAGACACATGTACCCCAATAAACTAAAGTCCATAAAAATAGATAGGGCTTGTTCCTCATTCATTCTTGCTTATTGAGGGTCTTTTAGATGAGACGTACCTTAAAAAACTGAGGTACTGTGTCACAGAGGGCATTGACATTTTGAGGTGAAAGTTGAGGGTCTTTAAGAGTCACAGAAGAAGTTGACACATTAAAAACCACTCCCTACTCATGGATCTGAGTGTCAAATAAAGGTCATGATGTGAAGCCCTTCACCAAATTTTACATGAGTGTAATAATCTCGCAAGGGACATAAAACAGCAATCATTTAATCAACAAATTACTGTAAATCACTTTTTATTCGCAAGAACTTTATTTTTCGCGTAATTTACACAGTATGCTTGCGAAAATTTTAATTCTCCTTTACAATAGTATTCCTTAAGATTATATAGAGCAATAACCATAATTCATGAAAATTTTGTCTAGCTAATCAGTAGTCAATGTTTATCTCGCAAAAATTAAGTGACACAAAAATTTTGTAATCTTCAGTAGTTTATATTAATGGCATGGTGGAAAAGTAGGGGTTTGTCAATTGTCAAATTGTACATTACATTAAATACATATGATGTGTAGAATGACCCTTTGAAGAACAATTGTTGATTCGACTTTTTAAAACCATTTCCAGGTTTTAATATTTTAGGTTAGTCCATATATATTTCACAACTCACACTTACATTTGAGTTGATTTTAAAACGTACAAATTATTTTAAGCTCACCTTGACGAAATCAAGTTGAGCTTATGCTATACCCCTGGCGTTGGTGTCAGTGTTCCAGGTTATAGTTTAAGGAGCAAGTCTATTCCCAAATAACTATAAGCCCTACCTGAACCAAACTTGCATGGATGATGCATCTAGGGATGTACACTACCAGACTTGCTTCAGATCTGACCTACATTTTCCAGATGAGTGATCAGGTTAAAGTTTTTGGAGCAGGTCTATTCCCAAGGAACTATAAGCCCAACCCAGATCAAACTTCCATGGATGATGCATCTAGGGATGTACACTACCAGACTTGGTTCAGATCTGACCTACATTTTCCAGATGAGTGACCAGGTTAAAGTTTTTGGAGCAGGTCTATTCCCAAGGAACTATAAGCCCAACCCAGACCAAACTTGCATGGATGATGCATCTAGGGATGTACACTAGTAGACTTGCTTCAGATCTGACCTACATTTTCCAGATGAGTGATCAGGTTAAAGTTTTTGGAGCAGGTCTATTCCCAAGGAACTATAAGCCCAACCCAGACCAAATGCATGGATGATGCATCTAGGGATGTCATACAAGACTTGCTTAGATCTGACCTACATTTTCCAGATGAGTGACAAGGTTAAAGTTTTTGGAGCAGGTCTATTCCCAAGGAACTATAAGCCCAACCCAGACCAAACTTGCATGGATGATGCATATAGGGATGTACACTACCAGACTTGCTTCAGATCTGACCTACATTTTCCAGATGAGTGATCAGGTTAAAGTTTTTGGAGCAGGTCTATTCCCAAGGAACTATAAGCCCAACCCAGACCAAACTTGCATGGATGATGCATCAGGGATGTACACTAGTAGTTATCTCCATATCCTTCTTTAAACATCGATTTTCGTGTAAAATAATCAAGATTGCTTCAGATCTGACCTAAATTTTCCAGACAGTGATCAGGTTAAAGTTTTTTGAGCAGGTCTATTCCCAAGGAATTATAAGCCCAACCCAGACCAAACTTCCATGGATGATGCATCTAGGGATGTAACTAGTAACTTGCAGATCTGACCTACATTTTCTTAGATGAATGAAGGTTAAAAAAGTTTTTGGAGCAGGTTATTTCAAAATATAAGCCCAACCCAGACCAAACTTGCATGGATAACAATCTAGCATGGATGATGCATCTAGGGATGTACACTACCAGACTTGCTTCAATTTTTTTTACATTTTTTGATAAGTACCAATTTAAAGTTTTTGGAGTCTGTTCTATTCCCAAGGAACTATAAATGACCTAACAGACCAAACTTGCATGGATGATGCATCTAGGGATGTGCACATGTACTAAGACTTGCTTTAGATCTGACCTACATTTTCCAGATAAGTGACCAAGTTAAAGTATTTGGAGCAGGTCTATTCCCAAGGAACTATAAGCCCAACCCAGACCAAACTTGCATGGATGATGCATCTAGGGATGTACACTAGTAGACTTGCTTCAGATCTGACCTACATTTTCCAGATAAGTGACCAAGTTAAAGTTTTTGGAGCAGGTCTATTCCCAAGGAACTATAAGCCCAACCCAGACCAAACTTCCATGGATGATGCATCTAGGGATGTACACTACCAGACTTGCTTCAGATCTGACCTACATTTTCCAGATAAGTGACCAATTTAAAGTTTTTGGAGCAGGTCTATTCCCAAGGAACTATAAGCACAACCCAGACCAAACTTGCATGGATGATGCATTTAGGGATGTACACTACCAGACTTGCTTCAGATGTCCCCCCTTTTATTTGAAAGTTATTTTCTGTTACTGTACTATGATACTATAATATTTTCTGTACTAAAAAAAAAGTAATCAATTAATTTACAGCTGACTACAAAGTGTGATATGGATGTTTTTTAAATTGAAAAACTATTTTTTTGAAGTATTTATTTATGTCAACAAAATACCTATAGCAATTTAATATTTAAAAGTTAAATAGCTTTGGAAATATCAAAATTTTAAAAGTAAAGTAAACATTACCTGGTGTTAGATAGGAAAATGGCTGCTGTCTTGTAAAGTACTATTGCTATGTATTCAGGTCACATGATCAACATACCTTAGTGATCTACCTGTCAAGTATTTTACTTCTTGGTCCCTATGTAGTTGGGATTTAAATTTTATAAATATGGCTTATTGTTTAGGCTTTAATTATAATGGAGTCATCAATCATTATAACAAAGAGGAGCACATGAACCCTACATTACCTTCAATAACAAAAAATAAAACAATACAATCTTGTTTCCATCTATTATGGCCAAAACAGAATGTGTGATTCATCAATATTAATGCAAGCTTTTAATAAATGCATGTGAATAAATTCTGAATTTTTTTAAAAATCTTGATTCTTCTGTGAAACCATGCACCGATTAGAATTAGGTTAAACTAAATTAAATAAATTCAATAATATGTAGTGTACATGTCGTATGGTTAGGTTAGTCAGATCATGGCCTTGCTTTTGAATTCCTGTAGGTAAAAAGTATGTCTTTTTTCATGAAAAAAAAATTACATATTGTGATTTAATCCATACCTTTTAAAAGGATAATGCTGTTTTTTTTTAAATAAAATTACCTGCACTAGCTCATTACCAGTCAGTAGAATGCTTACCCTGTGATTGGAAGGTCAAAGCAATTATGAGTTGGGGAAAATTGTAGCAATTCCATCAAATATTGGGCACTATAATGATTTAAAATTGCAGGTTTTTTAAACTCTTTGTCATGGTAGCACAATAAAACACCCTCTTTATTGCTCTTAGTTGGCCCTGATTGAGTGTACCGTAACTGTGGAAATTTATTAAGCCCTTCACTGGCATTTGGTGATATCTCATGTGTGTAAACTTATCTTGCAAAGTAAAAAAAGGTACATTATGGCTAGCTACTGTAAATCATGTTTAATTTGCGAGAACTTTATTTTTGCATAATTTCGCGAGACAATGAGCTGGCAAAAATTTCATTCTCACATTTTAAAGTATTCCTTACGATTATTATATAGGAGAAAAACAACAATTGGTGAAAATTATGTCTCGGTAATAAGGAGTCAATGATAATCTCGCGAAAATAAGGTGTTGCTAAAATTTAGTGATCTACAGTATATACAAAGAGATTTGAAAAGCCCGACTCAGATTTTTGGTATGAGCATTATGTTTTCGTAAAAATTATGTATATAAGACATAAAAGCATGGAATTCTACATCATGTTGCTGAGTTCTATGCTTATTACTATTAAAAATGAGTTCATTACCTTAAACATTATGGTTACCCGTGATGACAGGATATACAACACACTCAAAAACCCCTGCCCCCCCCATCGAAATTTTCATCATCGAAACATAGTCATTAGCCGCTACAAAAATGTTTCTGTCATAAAAAAATAACATTTTCAATATCTTTTTTAGTATATTTATATATTGATGCACAATCTAGACAAAATTATTTAATGACCATATTTGTCTATAAATTTCGGATATTTGATAAAAGTTTTTTTTTTAAGTAACTATAAAGTTCCCTATTTTCAAAAATATCAGGTTAGCCTAGGTGTCAAAATTCACTGACTCTTTTATAGTTTGACTATAAACGCACAAAGTAATTTTTTAGAATGTACGTCTTTGGACAGAGAGGATTGTTGATATATTTATAATCAGATTATGAAAACTAGGTTAATATAATTCCAAAATGTATAAATGTTTTTAAAAATTGCTCTGAATTAGCATTGTCACCTGCCAAAAAACGATGGTATAATTGTATCGATCTAGTATTGTTATGAATGCAAAATTAAAAGATAACGGACGAGTACTTGGAAATGGAAACTGAATTTTGTTTTATTAACAACATGATTTACAATAAATGTGTTATAAAATAAAAATGCATGTTATTTTGTTTTTTTTTTTTTTTTACATTTTGCAACTTTCAATTTCGGACCGACAAAAATCACTTCGGACCGGCTTATTTTGTTTTCTTGCCGGTCCGAATGACCGACTATCTGAAAAAGTTTTCCACAACTCTGGATTGTTTAGAGTACAACATATACAAAAATAAAATATGATTCCCCTGATTCATAATTCAAATCCACCATCTAATCCACATTTTTTTGTTTTAAAAGATTTATTTTTACTAAATTTATATCCATCGATAACTAATACTGCATTGTGGCGATTTGTCACAAACTTCTCAATAGTAGCCATGACGTTCAAGTGTCGTTCAGTACATGTAATTGCACTTTGACTACAGACTTAATATGAAATTGTTAGTTATAAAAAAAATTAAATGCAATTGGCAATTAATTAAAACAAGTACAGTTTTCAAACGTCCTTGACTGTAAATACAAGTGACTTTCCTATATTATGCTATTACGATGAGTTTATGTACACCCTAAGATTTTCAATACAACGCAGCGAAAAACCACTGGACAGTATATAAAATTAATGTTTAAATGTAGGCTGTCCATCGACATAATATCCTTCCACATCTTCAGTAAGTTTGATAGTCATTTGAATCATTTTAAAAACCAAATTGTTGATAAAAATTAATATGCATGATAATGCAGGTAACAATTACACGTGGTAACATAATTAGTTTCGCACGGGTAATCAAAACCAATGGCATGTAGCGTTGGCTATTAAAACACCTTTTTAACAAACTAAGGCTATTATCTGCTGATTGGAATCAAAGTAAAGTGTGATAGTTAAAATAATTAAATGACAGGTACTACTCGTAATTACTGAAATGGTCAAGAACTGCAAATACATGTACAGTGGACCTTCAGATATCCGGACGCCAGATATCCAGATGCTTCAGTATCCGGACGATTTTTCATCGGAACAACATTTTTAAATGTAATTCTTTCTTGTTTAACTGGTGATTCAGATATCCGGATGCTTCACATATCCGGACGAATTTACTGGGAACCAAAGCGTCCGGATAAATGAGGGTCCACTGTATATAAACCTACCATAGTCTATTTATTCTCAAATTTCCGAATAAAACATGGAAATTATTGAACATTTATTCACTGCTTCTTGAATTCACGGATTTATCAACATCGTGAATATAGCGAATATTAACACCGCGAGTTATTTTCCCTCTATACAGTACTTAAATTGCACTCTGTAAAGTGACATTATCATGGTAAAATTCATACAGAAAATATTATTATTATTATCCTGAATCTACACAGTGTTGTATCTCACTGTAGATATTTGATTTTCTTCACTTGTCTGTTTCCTAATTGAGCAACAAACAGATTGTCATTTGTATCTATACACAGTTCACAGGGATAACTCAGTCCACAGTCTATGTAACGAAGGAACTGTCCATCCTGGTCTATGATGTGGACACAGTCATTGTAATAATCAGCTGTAAGGATGTGACTCTGACTGTCTGTAGTGATTCCTTGTGGAATGAATGGTTTGTTCTTTGGAGCAGGAGTATGTCCAGTGTACCTGAATCTCAGTTTCCCGGCCTGATTGACCACCACTACTGCTTTAGCTCCCTCATCAGACACACAGATATCCAGGTTCCTGTTCTCAGTTATGTCTCTCTTATAAAGGCCAGATGAATAGAGAGGGTTACCTTGATCATCAAACTGAATGGTTTGTTTCTCTGTGGAGCCAGAGTAGCGGACAACTTTTGATTGTTTGTTATCACTGTCCATGATAACCAGGAGGTCACCAGAGGAGGTACTACAGACACAAAGAGGTCTCCAGTTCTGTAGTCTGATCACCTCCTCTATCTTCTCATTCTTCACAATGTTCACAGTTCTATCCAAGAAATCAGTATAAACTAGATCTCCACTTTTTGTCACTGCTATGTCATATGGTGTGTTGCCTGACTTGGTTCTAATTGACTTATTATAAATTAAAAATTCTCTTGATTGTGAATAGTGATCCCTGATTGATGCTGTAGAGTTTCATGGTGCTGTCATTTCCACTTGTCCAGATTTCTTCATCACTCAGACAGGCCACATTGTAAAGTCTATCATACCCAGTGTTTATGGTGGTGACAGTCTCTGGTTCATCAAGCAGCTGTTTGACTGGAGGAGAGGATCCAGCTTCTGGTGATTTCTGTGTTGTCTTCATGCTGTAGCCATGTTTATCTGATGTTAACGAACTTGGTGATAAGGATCCAAACAGTTTACCAAGTTCTTGGATTTTTTCCTGGATTAAATTTAGGTAGAGATGGTGCTAATTTGTCTGGGAGATTTCTCTATCTTTCTTCACTGAATGTGACACTAAATAGTTTTGACAAGTCATCAGAATCTAAAGCAGCATTAACTGAATCAATTTCATCCTTGATGTCAGACATTGTCTTGTTTATTTCATCCAGATGTTTCTGTAGAGTTTGTAACTGTGTGTTTTTCATCTCATCAACTTCAGCTTTAAGTTTCTTGACAAGTTTGTCAATTTCTCTGTGCCAGTCCTCTCCATGTTTTGTTATGGCTGTTGAGAGATCTCCATATTCCTTTTCTAACTGACTCATTCTGTTTTGTACATCAGAGGCAATGTCGTGGTAGGTGGGATAAATTATATCATTTAGTTCATTTTGTTCTTTGACAATTTTATTCTTTCTTTCATTCACAACTGGCAAGATTTCTGATACGTTATGACCTAGATGTTGATCAGATGCAATTCACTTAGGAAAAACAGGAATGTCACATTGATTACAGTACATTGTACATTGATCTTTGGAATGAGATATACATCCAGGATACAGGGGAGTGGATTTCCTGGCCTGAAATTTGACAACTTTGTGGTCTTTGGATTCATCAGAGATCATGTGTTTTCCTACACAAGCCGTACACAGGTTTACAAGACACGTATCACAGTGCATCTGTACCACAGCGGTCTCACACAGGTCACATCGCATCACGTCCTGGGCACTGGTACGGGGATCCATGATTTAACTTGAGACTCTGAATTATAAATAGATATTTGTTATTGTGAATATCTAACTCTAACAGGATAAATATAGGATCTACCATGATTTGTAGTTGGATGTGATTTTTATCCAACAAGTTTTATATTTTTTATCCCTGGACCTTGACCCATATTTGATACTTGACAATGAATGTTTACACAGTTTTTAGCTCACCTCGACGAAGTCGAGATGAGCTTATGCTATACCCCCGGCGTCGGCGTCGGTGTCGGCGTTAGCGTCGGCGTCCCAGGTTAAAGTTTTAGGAGCAAGTCCATTCCCAAGTAACTATAAGCCCTACCTGAACCAAACTTGCATGGATGATACATCTAGGGATGTACACTACCAGACTTGCTTCGGATGCTGGATCTGACCTACATTTTCTAGATGAGTGACCAGGTTAAAGTTTTTGGAGCAGGTTCAAGTTTTTGGAGCAGGTCCATTCCCGAGGAATTATAAGTCCTACCCGGACCAAACTTGCAAGGATGATGCATCTACGGATGTACACTACCAGACTTGCTTCGGATGCTGGATCAACATTTTCCAGAGTGACCAGGTTAAAGTTTTTGGAGCAGGTCTATTACCAACTAAAGGAACTATAAGCCCTACCTGGTCCAAACTTGCATGGATGATGCATCTAGGGATGAACACTACCAGACTTGCTTTCGGATGCTGGATCTGACCTACATTTTCCAGATGAGTGACCAGGTTAAAGTTTTTGGAGCAGGTCCATTCCACAGAAACTATAAGCCTTATTTGGACCAAACTTGCATAGATGATGCATCTAGGGATGGACACTACCTGACTTGCTTCGGATGCTGGATCTGACCTACATTTTCATTCCCAAGTAACTATAAGCCCTACCTGAGCCAAACTTGCATGGATGATGTATCTAGGGATGTTCACTACCAGACTAGCTTCGGATGCTGGATCTGACCTACATTTTCATTCCCATGTAACTATAAGTCCTACCTGAACCAAACTTGCATTGATGATGTATCTAGGGATGGACACTACCAAACTAGTTTCGGATCCTGGATCTGACCTACATTTTCATTCCCAAGTAACTAGAAGCCCTTTTTGGACTAAACTAGCATGGATGATGTATCTAGGGATTGACACTACCAGACTTGCTTCGGATGCTGGATCTGACCTACATTTTCATTCCCAAGTAACTATAGGCCCTAGCTAAACCAAACTTGCATGGATGATGTATCTAGGGATTGACACTACCAGACTTGCTTCGGATGCTGGATCTGACCTACATTTTTATTCCCAAGTAACTATAAGTCCTACCTGAACCAAACTTGCATGGATGATGCATCTAAGGATGGACACTATCAGACTTGCTTCGGATGCTGGATCTGACCTATATTTTCCATACAAGAGACCAGGTTTAAGTTTTGGGAACAGATCAAGTCCTTGATATCTGCAGTATTAACAAAGTTATGAATATTTGTTAACACTTTACATGTTTTTCACGCTGCAGGCGTAGAACTGTGTATATGCCATGTAAGGGGTTAAACACAACTTGCAAGAATATTGTTGTTGGGATGAATACTAAATATTAAGAAAATATGATGTGATATTTTCCATTACTTAAACTGATAACATTCGTCGAGGTGAGCTTCGTAATCTTTGATTACCTATGTTTGTATATATAGGACTTCACTTTATTTCATTATGCTAACGCAATACCCATCGTGACGTCACAACTGAGGGATACGAAAACAATATCACATGAGTTATATCCATGAGATAAAGGGGTTAACATAGGATAAATATATAAAATGAATATAGTGATACCGAGAGTGGACAAGGGTTTAACATGTTGAAAGAAAAATGAAAAAATCAAAAATATTGTACAAACCTTACAAGTTAACATCAATCCTTTCTTTGAAAAGTCATCACATTTTCAGAAAAATTTTGTGTCTTTACTCCATCTTCAGAAGGTTACGGGTTCAAGACCCAGTTACAAGAAAAATCATTTTCAGTAAAAAATAGATAAAAATTGTTCCTCGCGATCATCAAGTGCTGACAACTTATGATAAAAATTGTGGGTCTTTCAGATAATGCCCGAAAAACTGAGGTCCAGTAATCATTGGCACAATCACTGCTTAATGGCCCTGAGTGTCCAGTAAATTGAGGTTTTTACCGTCTAATATGTCATATTGAGTCAAATCATATTGTAAGGAATGTAAAAACAGCAAACAATTCATAAAAAAGAATAAATGTTTTAGTCTAATCCTGACTGATGTGTTTCATACTAATTGTTTTGCAATTGTTTACACACTGAATTGTCAACAGATTTTTCCGTTATTTCTTAATCATGACAAGGAGCAAACGACAGTTATGACCGATCTGCAAGGGATTTTCCTTACTCAATGGTACCTGATCCCAATTCTTATATTTTGGAGGTCCGTGTTTGTGCTGCTCCAAAAAAGTATAGGCGGTATATTGCATATTTTTGCCCCAGCGAAAGTCAATTTTGAAAATTTCTAATATGTGCTAAATTATATAAATATGATTGTAAATGTTGTAGAAAAAAATCTAGATAAACAGTAAATATTGTAGTTTCAAAGTAGTTAATTGAAAGTTTTTGTTTCTGTGACATCACAAAGAGGAAAATAATGCACAGAATTTGCTCAACTTTTACTATAAAAACTATAGAATGCAGGCAGTGCTCCAGAATAATATTTATACATGTTTCATTGGTATTATCATAATGTAAATATACATGTATATGTATAATATTTAAATGCATTTAAATAAACACAACTGATGAAGGCCAGTAGCATGGTCGAAATATTTCAAAAAGTGTTTAAATGTTTTTTATTATAATTTTAATATGTGAAAAACATGGGTTTCCATGTATTGAAAATCCAAAAATATTTTATTGAAAGTGATATTCTTGATAATTGATAGCAAAGTAGATATAGCAAATTTGATATCTAAAGTTGTAGCTATTAACCAGAAGGTCGATATCAAAGTTTACTACAACTAAGATAAGCAATACAATATAATGGCTGTTGGCTCGTTACTGGATGGTAGAGCACTCTGTCTGTGATGAAGTTTGTGAGTTCAAATCTTAGCTGTGTCTGCAGACCTAAGCCCATAAAAATAGATTGCAACTGTTTCCATTTGAAATGGAAAGTTGTAGGTTATTTGGATGAGACCTTTTGAAAAGATGCCCCGTGTCATGGCAGGCATTAGCACAATAAATAGAACGCTGACTACTCAATGGCCATAAGTTAGTGCCGAGTAAAGGTCTAAATATGAAGCGCTTCACCAGTATATGGTGACATCTCTAAAGAAAAAAGTGAAAAATTCACAAATGGGACCTAAAACAATCAATCAAGCAGTCTTATTACAGGAATTTAGGAAAAAATCAAAATTTTAAAGTAAAATTAACATTACCTGATGTAAGACAGTAATGGCTGCCACTTTTGAAGTTTTCTGTGTTCTATGGTCACATGATCTGCCCTCCTGTGTTATCTACCTGTCAGATGTTTTACTTCGTGGTCTGTATCTAGTTGAGATTTGAATTTCTGTCAATTTGAACTGTGCCTTAGTTACTGTTTAGATTTAAGATTTGTGTGTGTGAATTTTGTAGACTTGACACATAGGCATATTTCATGAAGTGTATTAATCTGAGATTCCTCTGAGTCAGAGGAATCTCGGATTAGAAGTGTATTTGCTAGCGCACACACACAAAAAAGAAAGAAAGAAAATGTCACTCTATGATTGTAATCTTCTCTTTTTGTCTGGCATAAAATAGTTTGTATGATATGTATGTTGTGCATATTTTGATCGACAGTGTTAAAATGTGTTAAAAACATTGCCAAAAGAAGATCAAGTTATTGGAAATTTTGTCAAAATTGATATGATGGTCGTTCAATATTAGTAATGCAAAATATCATCCAAAAAGAAGAAAAGTATGTTATACTCTTATTAGTTTCAATCTTTCAAGGCATTCCATGTTACCCTTTACACAAGACTAAGGTCTTTATGCCCATGAACAGAAAACCTCAGCATTACTCATATATGTCCCAAAGGCACTGATGAATATCATTTCCCATGACATCTCTGATGTTATACAATCTTCTTTTGGTTGTTTTCATGCTTTTTAGCTCACCTGAGCCAAAAGCTCAAGTGAGCTTTTCTGATCAAAATTTGTCGGTTATCTGTCATCGTCGTTGTCATTGTTGTCGTTATAAACTTTTCACATTTTCATCTTCTTCTCAAGAACCATGACTGGGCCAATTTCAACCAAACTTGCTACAAAGTATCCTTGGGTAAAGGGAGTTCAAGTTTGTTCAAATGAAAGGCCACACCCTTTTCCAAAGGGAGATAATTATGAATTAGAGAAAAATTCAAGGCATTTTTATAAAATCTTCTTCTCAAGAACCACTGGACCAGGAAAAATGAAAGTCATGTAATCATTCTCAGGTAGTGTAGATTCAAGTTTGTTCAAATCATGACCCCCGGGGGTAGGATGGGGCCAAAATGGCCGATCAAAATTTTACATAGGAATATATAGAAAAAAAACTTTAAAAATCTTCTTGCCACTAACCACTGGACCAGGAAAGATGAAATTCAAGTGGAATCATCGTCAGGAAGTGTAGATTCTAGCGTGTTCAAATCATGACCCCCGGGGGTAGGATAGGGCCAAAATGGTCAATCAAAGTTTTACATATGAATATATAGGAAAAATCTTTAAAAGTCTTCTTGTCACGAACCACTAAGCCAGGAAAGAAGAAACTCATGTGGAATCATCCTCAGATAGTGTAGATTCAAGTTTGTTTAAATCATGACCCCTGAGGCTAGGGTGGGGCCAAAATGGCTGACCACAGTTTTATACAGGAATATATAGGAAAAATCTTTTAAAATTTTCTTTTCAGTTACTTCAAAGCCATGATTAGTAATATTTATATGGAATCATCCTCAGATAGTGTAGATTCTAGCATGTTCAAATCATGATCCCCTGGGAAGTTAAA